CCGAGTACATAGTTATTTCGTAGTGCATTTCCTTTAGACAATAAATGAAAATAAAAAAAATCCCACCTGCGCTTTCTCAATTATATTTTAACAGTGTGTTGTAATACTTTTGGGACAAATTATATCAAAATTATAGAAAACTTCATCGGCTCTAACTCAAAATATGGACAATTCTATGTTAAGGGGGTCTTGAAATCTTTTGACAGCTTCCGAAGTGCTAATTTTTAACCTTTTTCAGCTGGACCAAATCACTACTTTACTTTAAATTCATGACCCAATTTTTTTTACAGTGTAATTTTATCCCCTACTTGCTATTTGAGGCATAAAACATGAAGAAATACATTTGGAAGGGGTACTAAAAAAATTGGCAAGCAACACACTGTCCACACTAGGGACTTTATTCGTGGACGAAAATCAACGAAAATCAAAGGACGATAACTGTGTACTCGGACCGTGTGTGAAACATTTTTAGTTGGTAACAGCAAACTTGATATAGAAGGGTTCGTGTTGCTTAGTCTTTGGTTTTCTATGTTGTGTCATCTGTACTATTATTTGTCTGTTTGTCTTTTTATGTTTGGCCATGGCGTTGTCAAGTTTGTTTTCGATCTAAAAGTTTGACTGTCCCTCTGGTATCTTTCGTCCCTCTTTTATTCAATGTAAGTGATTGTAAGTACAACGAAGACTTTCTATGTATTGTCCAACAGCAACTAGAAAATGGTATAAAAGATCATTCGGGAAAGGAATCAAAAATTTAAATAATGATATTTCGTACGACGACGTTAAGAATGCTGTATACCGTGCAAAACTTAATAACGCCGGTGGGCTCGACCAAATATGTGCCGAATTTCTTCGTAATAACTCATGTGTGAATATTCTATTCAAGATTATAAAATATGCATTTGACAATGGAGTTGTTCCTGAGACATGGAATAATATACTCATTAAACCAATATTAAAACCTCATAAGGACTATCGTGATCCTCTAGATTATCGAGGGATAGCACTGATTTCAATCCCCTGTAAGATATATGCAGATATTCTTAACACACGTTTATCATCCTGGTTAGAAAGAAAATAACATCTTAGCCGATGAACAAAACGGCTTAAGAAAAGATCGTGATTGCATCGAACATTTATACTCTCTAGCAAGTATTATAACTAATAGAAAAATCGAAAGACGTTCAACGTTTGCTTGTTTCATCGATGCAAAAAAAGCCTTCGATGTAAATAGAGAGATGACGTGGTTTAAACTGATGTCAATAGGCATAAATGGAAAGTTTCTGAAAGGATTACAGTCGCTGTATGTAGACGTTCACTATGCTGGTAAAGTAAACGGCTATATGACCGACATGTTTGACGTAAATATGAGTGTAAAACAAGGCTGCAAAATATCCCCTAAATTATTCTTAGTGTATATTAACGATCTTGTCGATGAATAAGCAACCTGAATCTTGGTATCCCGATCAGTGAGTCGTGCATTTTGTCCATCCTTTTATACGCTGATGACATTGTTTTACTAGCACCCGATGGAGAATCCCTTCAACTGACGTTACACTTAACTTCGCCCAAGCTTAGCGAAAGGCTGTGCGACGTAATCAGTCAAACAAACTTTATTAGATCAACTCGCCAAGGAACGATCGTTCTCATTGGTCAATTCAAACCTTCGACTTCACATAAACTTTCAATCACCGCCGCCCAAGCACACCTGCGAAATTAGAACACGTGTACTTTATTAATGATCCAAAGTTGAATTGACTGATAACGTACAGAATTGTGTACTTGATCATCTCATGGTAATACTACATCTTTTTTGTACCTTAAATAAAGTGTATCAACGCATGTAAGATGAATTGATACCATAATTTTTTGCAACAGTTTTAATAAGGTCTTTTTATTTATTTTTTTGAAATTGTTATATACGAAGACTTAACGGTTATCACGACGAAATATTGAATCCAACTGTCTCCTCTCAAATAGTTCTTGATAATTATAACTCTTCATGTTCCATCGCCAGTTTATCAAAGCCACCTCATCGATCCTAAAACTAGGCTCACTTAGACTTAACCTTTTTTGTAAATATGAAACATAGAAATAGAAAAAAAGGGAATTCCAATGACTAGTTATAGATGACAATTTATATTTACATCATTTCATGGCATAATCTAGTAACTTTTTAAGGCAGGGAGAATAGTTTTTTAGGGATTCAACTTCGGATAGTGTTTTTTTTTATCATGTGCTATCATACCACATCTCCTTATTTTTGTATGCTACATTTGTTTACCTTTAATTTTATTGTACTTCAGTTCTATTTATATTGTATCTTTCTCGATAAACTTGTTCTTAGTTTTTGGTAAACGAAATATTTTCTAGGTGTACTACCAGTATCCTACATCTGAATCCGCCAATGAAATATGCTTTAAATCCATAGTCTTGTTAACATTGTGGCTTATACATTTAAACAACGGCATATAAAAAATTAAAAAAAAAATATATATTTTTTTTTATTTTAGGTTAAAACTACTTTTAGAGACTTTAAAAGAAATGTGAATGTTTTTTTTTATTAATTCAATTTTATTCATGATCAATTGTGTATTTAGATTTTTTTTGTATTTGCACAAAACAACACGGGCACAAACATGTTATGCAAAGCTCTATACTTCCGATAGGTTCCTTTAAGTATGAAATCAAAAGACAAATGTGCATCCAATTAAAATCGAAATGGTACAATCATATTGTTCGGAACTTCCTTATAAACAACGACATTACTCACAAATATTTTTTTTGTTCATTTTTTAGTTCTACACATCAGTGCAAAAGAAAAATCCTCGCCGATAATACATTTCAATCTTTTGTTTTACAAACAATAATATTTCGACCCCACTATTTGAAAATCAGGCAACGACACAGCATTACAAAAACATTTACTTTTCACGTTAGTAGTAACGTAGTACATTCCATTGTCGGTCACCTGTGTCAATTCACGTGCACACTACGATTGTTGTTGTATTTAAATCTTTCGGTCAATGAAATGAGACGTTACAAGTTGTTTGTTTGTGATACGCCAGAATGTTATCAATGAATTACCAAACGCTAAACTTGACTGCAGTTCAGTGTAAATGTAGTCAACAATTGGTGTTCAACAAGTGGAGATTGAGTGTAAATTTTGAAAAGACACAAATTGTACATTTTCGATGTCCGGCAATCCCTCGATCGAACTTTGACTTTCTTTATGGAGACACAACTATTGACTATTGCAGTAAATATCGATATTTGGGTTTGTGGCTTGATGAACATCTAAATTGGAAATTTACAGTGAGGGAAATAAGGAAGTCGGCAAGTAGAGCACTCTCCGCACTTTATATAAAGTTCATTTCATGTGGCGGTATGGACTATGACATATTTACAAAACTATATGAGTCTTGTTCAGCCTGTTTTATTATTTGGAACGAGTATTTGGGGCATATCAGAACACAAACAATTAGAAGTTGTTCAAAACAAAGTGTGCCGATACTACCTAGGTGCTTTCAAGAACTCTTCAAATCTAGCTATACGTGGAGACATGGGATGGTCTTTAGTAAAGACTAAACAAAATATTGAAGTTTTGAGACTGTATTTTAAACTTACTAATTTAGATGAAAGTAAGCTCGTAAAAGAGATACATGAATCGAGTAAATCGAAACAGCGCTCCTGGCATTCCCGTGTACTGGAATTCATTCAAAAATGTGAACTAAGTTGTTAGATGAACGCTCAAAATATGACAACCCGACAAAAAATTAGTATTGTAAAGGACAAGTTAAACAGTATGGTGCTGAAAATTTGTTAAGCGACTTATATAACGATAGAAACTGTGAAAATGGAAATAAACTTTAGAACGTTCAGACAGTACAAAAATTATCTTCAGCCAAGCAGTTATGTGAAATCTTATATATTTTTATGCTGCTTTTATCTGATGTATAATATATTATGTATAATATTAGATTCTGTTTTTAGCCATGTCAACCATCTTGGATGACAGGCAGGGTAAACTGGCACATTTTTAAAACTAGATACCCTAATAATGATTGTGGCCAAATTTGGTTAAATTTGACCCAATAGTTTCAGAGGAGAAGATTTTTGTAATAGTTAATAGGCGACGACGGATGATGGATGCCAAGTGATGAGAAAAGCTAACTTGGTCTTTCAGCCAGGTGAGCTTAAAAGTGTAAAGAATAGGCAACTGCACAAAACACATGGCCGCTAAGAATTAGAATAGAACATAGGGGTATGATGCAAGTAATAGTCATATATCTTAAATTCGTTGCAGATATAGAAAACCTGCCAGGGCAAAAACACTCAGAATATCAAGATCTACCTATGATCTGTTTGGACCAAAACGTTAAAGACTACTCATTAAAGGAGTTGTTGCATATGAACGAAAAATGATGCCTTTCTATTTCACTTCTATCCCATTTCTGAAAAGAAATAAGGAATTCTGAACATGGACATTTCATGTGTTACTCAAGCCAATAAAATCTGAACAGTAATGATTTCAAGAAAAATTGGGATGGACATGATTTTTCTGTGTAATTGTAGTCTGCTGCTTTGGCCATGTGAATTAAAAAACCCTTTTGCTGGGTAATAGGAGTCTGCTCAAGTTGCTCCCTTGGCCATGTGAGCAAAAGAAAGTTCAGTTGTGTAGTAGCAGTCTGCTCAAATTTCTTCTTGGATATGCAAGCTAAATAAAACTGTTCTTGTGTAATAGCAGTCTGCTCAAATTGCTTCTTGGACATACAAGCTAAATAAAACTGTTCTTGTGTAACAGCAGTCTGCTCAAATTGCTTCTTTCAACATATGAGCGAAGTTGTAATATTCATTGAAATCAGTTACATAAATGTTCCTTTTTATGCAATTTTTGTTTTGTTTCAATGTTGCCTTTCTTTATCAAATCATGGTAACAATTCAACTTTTTATATTTATGCTTTATCATTTGAATGTAAGCGAAGAACAACAGAAACAATATATTCTCATTTTATCTGTATTTCACAGACATTTTAATAAACACCCTAGGGCAAAACAATAATTGCTATGTATTCTACATTATCTCTGTCCATCACAACTCCCAAGTTTGACTTGGTAGGACAAATCCCAACCCCAGCCCTAATAATACTTTCACTTTCCCTCCCAATCGATCCCAAACAATCCACTCAACAAACATTCATAAACATTTAGAGACAACAGCCATTCCTCCATACAAGACTTGAACATCATTTAAAACAATGAAGATAATAGCTTAAATGGACTCAATCATACATATTATCATCTGTTTATTTATGAAAAGAAATAATTATTTCTCGTTAAATTTTTTCATATAAGTAAAAGGTCAATTTACCTTTTATTTTTTTTCCCTTATGATTTGATGCTTAAATAATAACTTAAAAAGTGGAAATTGATAGCTGCCATTTTTTTTTTAAGAAAAAAAAAATCTTTTTAACATGACTGTGTTACTATGATATATAATGTGATCTTGTGTGTCCTAACTGTGTGTTTACATGGACAAATATTAACTGTAAGCCTTGGCCTGACAGAAATGCTGAAAGGCTCTAATAAACTAAGCTGTTTTGTTGACAAATTTTGTAAATATTTTCAGTGTACAAATAACTGTCATTTCTAGTGAATATCTCCTACATGTGTGGGTTCCTATGATAGATGAAATTACCTCATATAATATTCCCTCGACTTAGAATATATGAATCTTCACTGTACTATTTAATTATATGTCTTCAAAGTATCTGATAATGTAAATGTCCAGCCTATCTCTGCTAGAAACAGCAATATAGCATGCAGTTGAATGAAGTGTTTTATAAGTGCTATTGTAACAGTTCTAGAATCAACCAAATCATATCGGTACATTACAATACAAGTATAAGTTGTTAGCGCTAACTTTTATGGCTTTAAGAAAATTGTTATTTCTTTGAGGGTTTTGAGTTTAATATTGAATTTTTTTAAAACTGTATTTCCTTACAGATTTTGAATTTGTGTGCTACAAAAAAAATAACAATTTTACAGTATTATTCAATTAAATTTTCCTTGACATATCTACCCTGAAAAATAGGGCTACTAGCTATTTAATCATAGCATAATGCCAAAAATAGTTATTTTACACTATGATATATGTAATACAAAACTATGGTAATGATTTTACAAGAGTAGCTGCCTTTAAGTAATGAAATAAGCTCAACAACAATCTCTCTGATTCAATCTAAGAAGTGCACAATGTTCATTTCCTGGTATCCTTGACATTTAATAGCTCAATATCAAAATTTAGAACAAAGCTTTTGAATTAAAAAATAAACTGATGTAATAAACTTCTTTTTGGTTGTTAATAAAAGGTGTCAAGCATCTCATTATGTGAACTTGTTGCACTTCTAAATCTGTATCTGATGCCAACCCACTTCTCCTTCAGCAATGTTGAACATTCTGGTGTTTCTTTAAATGTGAAAATAAATATCTATCACCAAAAAGTCACTATTGCTGAAAAAATGGACTGATCAATGATAAGATTTCTAAGCCATACAGTTTTCGTTGCCAATATTAGTTCCCTTATGAAACTGAAAATGTAATTAGACAAGTTGGACACAAATGAGAACCTGAAATGTATGGCACAATATACCTGAGATCAGACACATTCCCTGATTGATGTCAACTTATTATGCTATTATTATTTTCCCTTCTTCCATAGTGCTTTGAAGAAATTTGTGGGATAAAAGTCTTCAAAATCATGAAGTTTACTTCCCAAAAAATGATTCTCAAAAAAAAAATGCAAACTTTTCCTCCAGCAAAAATTAAAATTCATTTTTCATTTTTAGACACATAAATGCTAGTGGTTATTAGAAATGTCTACTTAATCAAAAAAGTAACTAAAATAGCAAAATGAAAACCATGCAAAAGGAAAAAAATAATTTCAATATAAAAGTCAACTTGTAATAACTCTTAACCTGCAAGACTTTGTAATTCAAAGAAAATGTTGTGTCTTAGCTTTGTCTATCCAATCAGGTGTCCAAACAATGATGAGCGAGATGTACATTTCTATAAACAACATGTAACACATAACTTGACAACAAATGTGCCCTATAATAACAAATTTTTTTACTACCAGTAATTTCTATAATGGCACAAAAAGTATGATGTTTCAATCACAACAACTCAAAAATCTCTTTTGATATTCTTCTTGCAAAATAAAATTTGATTGAATATAGTGTTTTATGCTCTTTCTCACAAGAGGAGTTTCCTCCTACTCAATTCACTTCAAAATAACTGTACTGACAATATCGACATGACAAAACATCCATTATGCTGACATGAAACTTCATCTTCCATCTCATGTAGGATTCTATTGCACGTTAACAGTGTGGTCCCATACATCCTCCTCCTCCAATCCGTTCTTTGTTTACCACCAAACAGGTGCTTCTTTCTTGAAGAAAGTTTTTTTGTAAGTATCACAGCCTTTGCACTTTTAGTTCTAAAAATATCCACACCTCTGATATAGCACTTTTAAAAACCATTTGATGGCAGTTTTAGTAAGAATTTATAGAGGTAGCTTTCGTACTATCCATTTGTATGTCACTTTCGTAAGTCTAACACAAACACCTGCAAAATACAAATATACATCAGTTACCTAATGATTTATAAAACAGTAAATCTCCATTAATTTTTAGTGTTGTTACCAAGTCAGTCTGTCCTTACATTGTTTTCTCTATTTGTGGTTAGATATTTGGAGCTTTAGTAGCTTGTTAGGAATGTGCTAATTGCACATGTTAATATTCTATTCTACCAAAATAATGGGCTATAATAGGCACATATTTGACCAGCATGTTGAGAGGAAAGCAGAGACAAATAAATGGGGAATGTGTCCATGGGACACAGATGATGCCCCCGCTTGCATATAACGTTATAAAGGGACAAAACTCAAGAATTGTAAAAGTGACGCTACCCAAAGTTGTACTTGATCTGAGTTTTGTGGTATTAAGCATTGTGTATACTTTTCATAACATTTAGTTGAGGCAAACTTAAGTTAGAGAATGGAAACGAAAAATTCAGCAAATTTTCCATCTGTAAAAGGGCATAACTCTAGAACAGTAAAGGCGACACCACCAAAATTCAAACTTGATCCGTGTTTTGTTGTATTAAGCGTTGTGTATAAGTTTCATAACATTTGGTTGAGGCAAACTAAAGTTAGAGAACGGAAACCAATTTTGGGACTTACGGACGGACAGATGTACAGACGGACAAGGGTAAAACTTAATGGCCCCTCCGCTACGGCAGGTGCATAAAAATCTACATAGAAATGGGATGTGCCAATGCTGTATACCAAATATAACTGACCTACCATTAGTGGTTCCCCATTAAAATCCTAATCACAAACTTACAAATAGTTGATACAGCTGCCAAGGAAAACAGGACACCTAAATCTAACTCTGAGAGATGTTTAATCACATGGCGTTCTTTAATGGTCATAGTTAATGTGAAAAACTCTTGACAACTTCTTCACATATTTGAGATAAAATGCTCTGCGGGGTGCAGCTTGATACAACCACAGCGGTCAAATCCTGAACAGTTTGGGCAAGTAAAGACACTCCATTCAAGATTGATACAGATCTGAATTTGGATTGTGATTAAATATTTGACACACCATAGGTTTCTGACACAGAATGAATGTGGTCTAAGAACTGAAAAATTGGAAATTGGAAATCCAAAATCTATATACACGGTTAGATTAAACATATTAAAGAACCCCAATAATTCAAGACTTTGGATTAAACCACATTGAAATTGGTCAAGAAATAAACAATTAATGCAAAGTATTAGAAAAGTATTGTTTTGGCCCTTTTCCCTAAAAGGTTAGGGCCATAACCCCCAAAATCAATCCCAACCTTCCTTTTTTGGTATGGAACCTTGTGATACAATTTCATAGAGATCCATACACTTATACTCAAGTTATTGTCTGGAAACCAAATATCTTCAGATGACAATGACATCATACCAAAAATTTCGTATAAAAAGAAATCCTCCAATATACTTACTGAACCATCAGACGCGCTTGCTCCAACCTTATCACCTCGGTGATTCCAACATACTTCAAATATTCCCCCTGTGCCCTTATAACTGTGCACTAAAGATCCACTCTGTAAAGAGAAAATATTACTATAAATCAATCAATATTTACTTTTTAAATATAAATTATCTCAGTGTAATAAGATAACTTGCAACTTTTCAGGGGCTTTTCATGGAGTTCAGCATTCTACATATTGCACTACAGTAACTCCATTTTCTCAATGCACAGAATGACAATCTTCAACACAATTTTGATCAAATCTGTTCCATATTTTGATGAAATAAGTTAGTGAGAAAACAACTGAAACGTTGATAAAACGTTTTTGTGAAGAAATCCTCATAAAAAATTAGGGTCTGTGCTCAAAATTGAAATGGGTCAGGAAACCCTAAACACATACTTTTTTCTTTTTTGCCTTAGTCAAGAATATCCACGGTACTTTAAGTTACACAGGTTTGAGGTTAACATAGGGACAGGTTTCATTGTACTATATTTCCACCTTATAAACTTTATGAATAGTTAAAAAAAAAAAAAAAAAAAAACACATACAGCATAGATTACCTGAAATTAAAAAGGACATGGCACCAGGCAAAATACATTAAACTTAATACAAATATATCAAGTGTAATTTATATGTCAATGCGACATACTTTTTAAGGGATGCCGTTATTCTATCTTAAGTACATCTGAAAAAAATGTACAACAGATGAATGATTATTAATATGCATTAACAAACCTGCACATTCCAAATATGAACACACTTGTCAAAAGAACCACTAGCTAAATATTTGCCATCAGGACTAAAAGCTACACTATATACAGGTTCCTGATGTTTTGTTAATGTGTGGATACACGTCCCTCGCTCCACTTCCCACAACCTCACTGTGGAATCAAAAGAAGCACTGAAAAAAAGAAAACATTTTGTTACTAAATATTAAAGTAACAGTTGCATTAAATGGTTGTGATATCAATAAATGTGGAGTAAACGTCAATAAGACATCAACTGAACTACTAAAATATCCAAATAACATACAGGTTGACTAATTTTTAATGGCCAATAAATATGAAAATGATTTTCCACTTTGTATTAGCTATTTCAAATGTTTTAATTTTTCTTTTGCTTTACAGCTTTCCTAATCAAGGATTAGAAATGCTAACTAGTGATTTCTTTTAGTTATGGTCACTCAAATAAACATAACTAATATTTTAGAGTTTTATTCTTACACTTGATAATCCAGCCAAGTGTGCAATACAGGGGTTGATAACCCTAACGAACTGTTTTTACAATATTAGAATGCAGTGGTAAATACAAGATATACCAAGATGGATTTCAATCAAAGTACTTGTGAGCACTGAAGGGTAAAGATTGCTGCAATTTTGCAATTTTGTGATTTTAAACTAAAACATTGAATTGTAGTTAGCTAGGAAAATTATAAATTTGAGTTGGAGTTATCTTCCTTTGTTCATGATTGTACATTTGTAGATTGACCTATTTTTATCAGATTCATACACCATGCATTACTACAACATATCTTTAATAAATTGCTTGACATTGACTGGGTAGGATCTAAAGAATGATCACTTCATTGCACTATTTTGTTTGAACTATGAAAGGTTTTGATAAGTCTTGGAAGATTTAGATATCAAACAGTACAAAAGGGTTTTGATTGCATTTCATGCAATCTTTACCTAAAAATATGGACATATTAACATTTCCAAAATTACTAATGAATGAAATGTAGGCCACCCAAATCATAAACTACACATATTTTATGTGTACTATACAAATTTTATCAATAAAATACCACCTTTCCAAAGGTTTCTGAGATATGAACCTAAATGTAAAAAAATCCTGACAAGAAGGTTATTATTTTCATTGTTCAGATAGTAATTGAATTATTTACCTAGATAAAATAAGTGGGACATTAGGATTATTTGTCCCTGGACCTGTGGGACTCCATTTGATTGTGTAGATTTCTTTACTGTGAGCTTGTAAGTCATGAACACAGCTATCCTGCCTCATACTCCATATCTGAAATGATAAATGGTTATATGTATATGAAGGACTTTTTTTTCATTAAACAACCTGTCAACTACAACAACATATGTATCACTGTGAGCATACAACCATAAAATTCACATGTTAATAGAGTTTAATGCTTACATCGCATATCTTTACATGACAATGCTACTTACTAACACATCATCTGTGATTAATCAACTCTGAAGTTAAGGACAAACACGCATTTTAATTTTAGTTCACTACCAGTTCACATCTTGGTATATTATCTATGAAACTGAGGTTACCTCTCTGGGCAAATGAAATCTTTTAGATGCACATGTTAATGTACATGTAATCCACACAAAATACTTCCAACCTAACATGTACGATTTTTTAACTACACACTAAAATTTAAAATTTAAAACAATCACACCTTAACACCTGAAAAGTGAAAGCAGGATTTATAAATTATGTCTCTCATTCTTCAACTTCAATAGAAGGACATCATTCCCCAATATCAAACCACTTTGTGTTATGCTAAGGTCAATGACCACAATACACTGCTGCTGTCGAAGAAGAGCCTTTTAAAAAATTGCTGACAGTCTCACTTAACTGTGAACTCGGACCTTCACCTGCAATGACCTATACAGATATTACAAAAGAAAAATAATAAAAAAAATAACTTGTTTCTCAGTACTGTTAACTAACAGGTTAGGTCACTATGTGGAATGGGAAAGTCACAACAGGTCTTATTCAGAAAGATGAAACTTTACAAACATTTATTGGTTTCTGGCTAGACAAGGACTAAGGTTCATACATATCTTTATCTCAAAATATTATCTATACATTTCATGATTGATATAATAAAACAGGGCCAATGTATTATTCTGTCATTAATTTTAAGAAAGATATTTAGCCAGACCTTTATACCTTTATAAATTATATAGAATCTTCTTTTGTTGAAAACTATTATTTATTTTTCTAGTTTTATTGTTGTATTTTTCTCTCTGACTTTCTGCACAGAAGTTGAGAGAGAGAGAGAGAGAGATATGAGAAAGGGTTGGGATTAAGCTTGAATAATGGAGAAAGAAGTATTTTTTCAGCAGAATAATAGAGGGATGTATACTACTAAGAAAGGGTCAAGTGAAAACTTCATCGGACTAAAATTTCTTGTTAACCTGATATTTTTGTTGTCACTATTATGCTGGTGTTTGTGCTATATAAATGAATAACAAACCTTTAATGTCATATCATCAGAACAGGATGCTAATAACTGCCCTTGAGGATCCCATTTGATAGCATTTACTTCATTCTGTTGACAAAAAATATAACATAATAATAAATGGCAAATTTTGTTAGCTGGACATGTTAAAATATAAAATCATATTCAAATGAATTAGTACACTGTTCATTGCAACATGGATACAGTTTCAAAAATATTATACTAAAGGTTCCAAGGAGCCGCTCATCTTCAGACTTAATCAGGGCAAGGGACACAATATGATGGCTTTAGCTCAAATAGCCCTATTGGTCCGGTGAGCTAAAAAAAAAATGCTTTTATTTATTTCATCCCAAGTCAGAAAAAGAATTCTTTTTTTTCTTTCTTCGCAAACTCAATTGTGGTAATCTGAATATCACAATATCATGTATGTCATATCCAGTTGTTTGTTGACTACACTACCAGATTTACATACAAAATAAATATTATTCTTACATACAACTACACAATCAAAATTCAACATGTTCCAATTCAACTTAATGTTGCCTTCTTTTAATGCCAGCATCGAAAATTGTTTAGAGTAAAATAATGTTTTCTCTGCAATGCCAGCATCGAAAATTGTTTAGAGTAAAATAATGTTTTCCCTGCAATGTTGAATGATAGAATAAAAGTTTTTTTCTTGAAATTGATAATGGTTTAAGCTGGATTCATGACGAACACTTCAAAATTTTTTCACTTTTATTTCCAATCAGCTATGCCAAAACTGCAATACAGTTTAAAGGGAAACATATAAAAAGTTGTACAGAATAAACGATAAACATACAGTATGTCCCTGGAATGTTTTCATTGGTCTATCCATCCCTAGCCTGCAGACATGGATACACTGATCTGTTGAACATGATGCAAATGTTTGGTTACTCTGCCAATCTACGTCCAGCGCAGGAGCTGTTACAAATATAAATCAATTTTGAACAAGTTATATATCCCTTCAACAATTTGGTCAGTATTTCCCTTTGTCCATGTTAATTAAAAGAAATTTGCATTAACATACATACAAATGTCCCCATGTTGTAAAGAAAAATTGACCTGCCAAATACTGCTTGTTTTTATCAGACATGGTGTTTTGAGAATGTATAAATTAGAACATTCAAGCACCTGATTGCACAACAATTTTTTTTTAAACTTTGAGGGAGTTTTGTATTTCTCAAGCTACAGTTGTCTGCATGGTTTGAATTATTTCAATATCAAGACTGTCAGTCCACTGGATTTTCATGAGTTAAAGACTTTTATTTTTAATACTTGGCCTTCTTAAAATATTTTTTAGTTTTTTTTTTCTTTCAAATTTGCTGATAATACCTCAGAAAAGAAACTTTCAATACCTGCTTACTTGTAGAACAATTAGGGACATGCTATAATTACCTTTAATTTACATTGGACTACATACGATTATTTTACAATACATTGACATGCATTAAACATATCCCTTCTAACAACATCAAAGCATTCTCAACAACCACTTCATCAATCATTCTATTTTCACGTCAGCACCTATGCTATTTTTGACATTTTCTTCAATATATTATATTCCATATCATTCATTTTTTGTTGTCACAAAATATCCAGCTCCTAATAAACTAAATATACCAGCTCCAAATAAACTAAATATACTATATAAAGTTAAATGTACTTTTTATCTTTTTATTCTAAAGGATTATCAGGCAACAAATCCAATTTTGCATGAAGCATTTCACGCTTCTTGATAAATATGTGATTGCTTTCATGCTCTTATTTATCATTAATAAAAAAAACAGCATTCTCTAGCTCTTATTTATCACATATTTCTAAAAACCGTATTCAATTCTATTCTCTGGTTGCTAAAAATATATTTAAAAAAAAAATTCACAATATAAATATTTCTGTAAAATTGCTACTTTTAAAACTTAAATTTACACATACATTGTACAAACATTTTTTTTTATTTTAACAGTAGTCACATTTTTTTCATTTAAGAAATAAATTGATAGGTCTTATATTTATTGCATGATATGCTTTGCATTATTATTAACCATGCTACCTATTAAATTCTACATATTATCAGGGTAATAACATAGAAAACTGATATATTGAAGAAATTGTCATGCAGAAAACAACTTCTAAACTGCCTAGCTCATCCAAGCTCCCAATACATACCAGAGTGAAAAGCAAACTGTTCTTTAGCATGTCCTGTACTAGCATCCCAAATTATAGTCGTCTGAAAAATGAGATATAAGAAAAGAAAGAGTGAGAAATCTTATATCTAGGATACGTACCAGAATGAAATGCAAATTGCTGTGTAGCATTCCCTGAACTAGCATCCCATATTATTGTCGTCTGAAAAATCAAACAAGTGGCCATTTTTAATTCAAATGAATTTCAAAGGCCATAATTTCAGGAATAATCTTGAAACATGCACAAATTTAAAAATGATACTGATGATTTTAATAATATAATGAGATGTGTAAACTTTGTCAACCTTTTAATGAAATATTTGAACTTGAAATCATGGTAGCAGTAATATAACCAAACAGAAGTCATACAAACAAATTTATAATCAGATTACATAATCACTTACATACAAGGAGAAATTTTATACACACACACACACACACACTGAAAACAACTGTACCTGTGTCATCTGGATTGAGATGTGTCCAATAATAACATTGCCTTTTATTTCATCACACTTATAAATAACTACAAGCTGGCACTTCCTGGTTACATTCTGATAAATAAAGGTTCAATATCACTAACCTGGTGACCTTTATATATATACTTACTTTATCTACACCAGCACTCAAGATATAATTCCCTCTTTTATTCCACTTTAGGGCAAAAATAGGACCTTTATGTTGACCTAATGTATTTACAAGTCGACCTGAAAAAAAAATCTTTATAGGTTATAAACAATAACATAAAACTTAATTCTACCCATCTGACTTACAATAATACATGTATGCTTTCAATTCTTACATTGAGTAATAAAATTCGGGAGCCTGTAATTCAGTGGTTGTCATTTGTTGCTCTATATCATATTTTTTTTCGTTTTTTGTTTTGTATATAAATCAAGCCGTGCATTGGTCTATAATTGCTTACATCCACTTCATTTGAACTCTGGTGGATTGTTGTCTCATTGGCAATCATACCACAACTCCTTATTTTAATGACATGTTTTTGTCAGTGTAACATCATCACACACTTGTTGATGCAGCTGATGCTGGAAGAAAGCCCAAGGCGAGACAAAATTGAATTGATATACCATTAAGAAAAAAACAATAATATAGTAAAGTTATAAATAATCAAATGTACTAATTTAACTACAAATAATGTATCTGTTGTTTACAATGAATCTATTGATAGTGCCAAAATGGATGCTTTCCAAAACTGATTACAAGACCTTGACAACCATTTTCATAAGAGTTTGCTACAGCACATCAGGGCAATTTTGTTTACTTATAACACAACACAGATAAAACTGACCTACTTGAAATCAACAATCACACCAGCATTGTATACTTTAATATGTTCTACTCTTAAATAAAAATAGAACAAACTCTGGACAAAGCATGAAAGTTAAGTGAGGAGGAAAATGGCAAACTAATTCCCTATGACATGTTAAAATTCTGACATGGATTCTCAACATGATTTATAACAATAATAATAACATGTGAAAAACTTGTTTACTGGTAAATTTCCATGTTCTTTATAATGGATTGCTACAACAAAACAATAATATCCCTTAAAACTTTAGATCTAACATAAGTCACATAGATATGACAATAAAGTTCCCATTTCTCCTTTGCATCAACATGAACTGTAAAAATATTGTAATGATAAGTGGGGAGTGTATCTAATTAGGATGCATAAAATATAAACTGGTACTTAGCCATTGTTCCTATTGTTAAGTTCTTCAATGAACTTAGCTATTTATTAACCCTTAATGAATGTGTACTCTGTACAGGATGAACCTACTACAAAATTGTTTTAACCTTTGACAAACATAATCTGTTAAATTGTTTTAACCTTGACAAACATAATATGTTATGTAATTGTTATCATATTACAAATGTAGTTTGTAACAATTTACAAAACCTTTATCTTTTCTCTTACCACTCAAGTGGTTTTTTTTCAAATTCGAAGTTTTCAAATACCAAATTCAACTCAACATGAAACTAGAGTGGTGATCTAGTAATCTTTTTATCAAGAAACCACAAAATTTAGATTTTTTTCAAAATTCAAGTACTGTTAAGGGGAAACGGAAAAAGTGACTTTAGTGGTCTAAAACATTCCATTAATATTTCAATTAATTTGAAAAAGCATTTCTCTATCTATTATCTGAAAATCAAGTGTGACTAGGGGAGTGATAATAAAGGTGTGTAGATTTCTAAATATGATCAAAATGTAAAAGGAACAATAATGGTTATCTGAGAATCACGGATAATTTACAATACTGGTTTTTACTAGAGTATGATCAAAAGCCTTTTTTTTACTGCCAACCTGAATTTTAAACCCAGTTTCTCATGCTACCATTAGCTACAACCTGATCAAGAATTATTTCATGTATTTTTTATACTGATCCAAATTTGCCATGAATCATAGAGCCATATTTGCCATGAATCATAATGATGGTCATCTCATTATACACTCTATAAAAACTGTGACATATTATTTGGAAAGAATAGTTTATGAACATTGGCAGGATCGCAAAATTCTTAAATTTCCACTATAGTCAATTTCTTTTACTTCTCAAATATGTCTTTACTGAAGGTTTGTATTTACATGGCAAATATTCATGAATGTTTTTTGGTCTTATAAAAGAATTACATGCAGAGCTGTTGAAATCATTTTTAGTCTGTCAGACAAACAGACAATGAGTTTGACAGACTTGTCCACCTTGTCAGACCTGTTTTTGAGTTGTTGCCAGACCTACACTTTTTATAAAATTTAACCATTTCAAAATAATTGTATGCCTGGTACTTGAAATAAGTCTTTACTTATTACTTTTATTGTTATTAAAGCTCATAGATTTGTCGGCTTCATTTTTTGTTATCTTTATTTTCCACATTTTTTTTCATTTGCCCTGCTTGACACCATTGGAAAACATGATGGGCCATTCTGATACGAGCACACCATTTTTAAATATGCCACGAAGACCTCGACCCAAGGTGAATATCAGCCTTGAATTGACGAACTATTATCTACCGGTAAGCAAAATAACTATCTGTATCAGAGATAAATAAAATGATCTTACGATGCTACAAAACTGAAACCCCTAAATTTTCATGTTAAGAAAGATAATTTACCAAAGTAACTTTCAGTTTCTATTGTTATCATGATTCATGACGTATAATTACAGATTTGCAAGATTGTAGGTACGAACTATGATTAAGGAGTTGATATTGATTATGCGCAGTCGCCTGATAAACTGATCTCCAGTTGCAAATGTCCACTTCTACCTGAATCAGTCAAATTTATTTGTTTACACTGAATTGGACCAAGGATTTGCTATAGAAATCCTTGATTGGACATTAAACACTTTTTTACCGGACATAATCAGTCAAAATTATTTACCTGACAAAAGAGTCTGACACGATTGCTGTCAATGGGACCCTGAGAATTTTTGTAGCTCAGGACTGACAGGTCCAACGATTTTCAACAGATTTGTACATGTTTTTAAAAACTCTATTTGTAAGCTTATGGAACTTTAATACCAATAAGTAAAATCAAACAGAAACAGTTCATAATTGGTTTTAGTTTATTCATTTTAACATAGATCAGACTTTTTATTTTCTCTTTTGAATTGTTTGAGATTTGTTCATAACTTCCTATACAGCATAAGTTATTGCTGAAGGCCATATGGCCTGTAGTTGTTTACATCTTCTGGTTGATAATTGTCTCATTATTTATTATAACATTTCCTTATTTTTATACTGCAAGAACAGTGATTCGAATTTAACTTTGATTACAAGTGTCAAAAATGTCAATAATCATAAAGTCCCTTCTTTATACATGGAAAAATTTATGTACTAGAATATATATATATATATATACATATATAAAGAAACATAGATCCATTAATTAAAGTATTAAATTGTTTTCCTTTAGTATTCCCATCACAAAATCATCCTGAAGGAAAGTTTTGTGATTATACTAAATTGAAATCATTCATACATAAAAAGTCAACAATATTTTAAAGGTAAACTACACGACAGGTAAAAGTATGATTCATTGTCCTACTTTGTACGACATTTAACAGAATTATAAAAATGACCCAGATACAACCCGGATCGACAATCTAAAAATTTCCAAATACATTTTCATGTGGGTTGTATCTTATAAAATTTCACAGACTAAAAACCAGTCTAAAACCAATAACGGATGTTTACCAACGATGATTTATAGGTCTGTTCATGCTAGATCTATTTGAGGGATCTGAAAATAAGCTTCTTTTCCTACATTGGTGCAATACTCCAGATTAAAATAGATACAAAATAAGTAGACTGCATGACTAACTCATCAGTTTTCATCAGACATAATATGCACAAACCATTTACTTTACAGAAAATCACTAAATCAAAAATGCCTCTAGGTTATTCAAAATAAATGTAACTTGAGCTTTCGGATTCTAAGGAATTTTTTTCTTAAAGAAAGAATAAGTAGTATCAGAGAATGAAATTAGCAGGAGTCCAGCAGCCTAGACTGCAAAATATTGGACTGGCCCCCTTAATTTTAGCTTCAAATGTCCATTGCTTATGTTGGTCTTTTGTATTGTGGCAGGTAAGGTCCCTAGAAGGAAAATGTCTTTAATCCTGAATATAAATGCTAGAGTAAAGATTCAAACCAACTGGGTGATGCAGAAATGAGCCAGATGAATAAGCATTTCAAACTTTTTTTCTTGATTATCTTTGTTCTCTGGTCTTGATAATAAATAAAACAAGAGTGCACACGCTGAAATGTCTCGCCTTCTTTACTGACCATTGATTTTATGTTGATAGTCCTAAATATAAAGCTTTACAAAAAGTATCACATAAACTTAACAGGATCCAAGAAAATGAGGTCAAGGTCAGATAAACCAAACCAGAAATACATATACACCTTACAATCATTCAATACACCAAATATAGTTGACCTATTGCTTATAGTTTCTAAAAAAACAGACAAACAGGAAAACTAAACATCGACCAATGAACCATGAAAATAAGGTCAAGGTCAGATGAACCATGCCAGACAGACATGTACACCTTACAATCAATCTATGCATTAAATATAGTTGACCTATTGCTTATAGTATCTAAGAAACAAGCTTAACCATGAAAACTTAACATTGACCAATGAACCATGAAAATGAGGTCAAGGTCAGATGATACCTGCCAGACAGACATATACACCTTACAATCATTCCATACAACAAATTGACCTATTGGTTATAGTTTAAGAAAAACAGACCAAAACACAAAAACTAAACACTGAGCAATGAACTGTGAAAATGAGTTCAAGGTCAAATAAAACCTGCCAGACTGACATGTACATTGTAAGATATTTCCATACACCAAATATAGTTGACCTATTGCATATAGTATTAGAAAAAAAGACCAAAACACAAAAACTTAACTTCAACCACTGAACCATGAAAATGAGGTCAAGGTCACATGACACCTGCCAGTTGGACATTTACACCTTACAATTATTCCATACACCAAATATAGAAGACCTATTGCTTATAGTATCTGAGATATGGACTTGACCACGAAAACTTAACCTTGTTCACTGATAAATGAAATGAGGTCTAGGTCAGATAAAAACTGTCTGACGGGCATGAGGACCTTGCAAGGTACGCACATATTAAATATAGGTATCCTATTACTAGAGAGAAATTAACATTACCGAAAATCTTAACTTTTGTTTCAAGTAGTCACTGAACCATGAAAATGAGGTCAAGGACAATGGACATATGACAGCCGGAAACTTCATAACATAAGGCATCTATATACAAAGTATGAAGCATCCAGGTCTTCCACCTTGAAAAATATAAAGCTTTTAAGAAGTTAGCTAACGCCGCCACCGGATCACTATTCCTATGTCGAGCTTTCTGCGACAGGCTCGACAAAAACCTCCAAATACAGTTAGAAATACTGGGTCAGTCAACCTGTTATTAATACACAGACCATGAAAAGGTATAAAAATAATTTATACAAACCATCTGTACTCCATATTCTAGCATAACCATCATATGAACCAGTAGCCAACAATGTTCCTTCACACTGTAAAAGATTGTTTCAGCTTTAGAAGTAATCAGATATAAAAGATAAATGCAAAAACAGATTTTTTTATCCGTGAAAGTCAACAAAAAAAATTCTCTATTGAAGAAAAGGGAAAGTATGAGTAGACAAATAAGCATACAAGAAACTATTTGTTTTCATTAAGGATTGGATTGTATAAATTTCTTATTCAACAAGACCTATCAATGACAGGACATTTCTCTCAAAAACTGAGTGTGACCATTATTTATTCCAATTTGGCAACACCAGTTCAGTGTATATGTACTGGTATGTATTCTTACATTTATAAAAGTTTCAATATAAAATCTTAAATAAAACCAATTCAATAATTCATTTTCATGAAAGAATACAAACTTCAAAAATTCATATGGTTAAGAGTACAAAGCTAATTTGTACAAAACATGTACAAGCAGAGATGCTTCCTGATCTCAAAAATTACATACAGCTTTATTGGTAATTAAATGAAAACCTGTGTTACATGTATAAACTATTCTACCAAAATGAACATTGATAGCTGATGGCTATGTTCATACATGGCTGACAACAGTGACCTTGACACCATTAATAACAGTCACATTATTATTCAGTACAAATGTATTGTCAGAGCCAAACTAAACTAATTTGTGGTGTATATCCACTTATATGTTAGTTCACATTTTCTTGGTGAGATATTTGAATGACTCATACCATGGTGTATTATAATTTTATGTTATTTACCTAATCCACACCTATAGAATTTTTTTTTACTTCATTTATCCCCAAAAGTTGCAGGATTTGACAACTAACCATGCAAAATACAAGATTTAATGAGCAGTGATTCTTCCATAGTGAACAGTGGTAATTGTTTTGTATAAAGTTATATAGAAACACCTTGAGAGAAAGGCTGACAAGGTCAGTCTGCATCTGTTCAAACATGTTTAATAGTTTATGAGTTGAGACATCAATAAAGTGATATTTTTTACATCTATGTAAATAGAATAGATTGATTCTGTTATCTATCCAAAGTCATTAATGTGACCTCAAACAGATAACAAAACCAATATATTCATTACATACAAGTATTATCACAGTGTCAATGCAAACTATCAAAATTAGATCTTTTCAGATAAAAATGTTAAGTGCATGATCCTTGTGGTCTGAATCAACTATCAAGGTAACAAAAAACTTAAAATAATAAGCAAACTTGAACTATTCCACTTGCAAAATGAATTTTAAGAGCTTAATTTCTTACATTCCAATCAAGTGAGGTTACATCTTTATTACTAGGGACTTCTGTACCTCCTCTTTGTATACAATGTCTCAGAACCAGCTGATTAGCACTATTACTGTTGTCATTCATGTTCCAGATTCTTGCTGTTGAGTCTCCTGACCTAACAAAATATTACAAACAGGGTCATACTAATGATATTACAAACAGGGTCATACTGATGATATTACAAACAGGGTCATACTGATGATATTACAAACAGGGTCATACATGTACTGATGATAGAGAGTTAACGTTGTAGAAAGGAAATGTGAGGTGAATAACATGACAAGTTGCTTTAATTGCTCAACAATTACATATCAGTGTTATCAACACAAAATCAGGAAGACAGTATGATTTTTTTTATTTGTAAATTCAGTACTTGGGAGCTTACTCTGTATGATTTGATTTTTTTGGTAATGTTTAACTCGTAACTGAGTCTATAATAGAGTTAAGCACCTATTTTGCAGAGTTTTACTGAATGTTTATGTAGAGTTTATTATTCCACTGATCAAGATTTAAATGAAAGGATTGGGTGCTTAAATAAATGGAGAATCTGTCTATGGGCCACAGATGCCGCCGCTTGTAAATATGCATGAGTCAACTTTCACATACAGATGCAGGATTCGTGTAGTTAAGACTGTTTTGTGATTATAAGCATTGTGTATGTTTCATAATATTTCGTTGAGGCAAACTTAAGTTAGAGAACAGAAACGACAGATTTAGCATTTTTTATGTTTATAAAGGGCATAACTCATGAACGGTAAAAGTGACGCCACCCAATTTCGAACTTGATCTGTGTTTTGTGGTAATAAGCATTGTGTATAAGTTTTATAATATTTGGTTGAGGCAAACAAAAGTTAGAGAACAGAAACCAATTTTGGGGACGTTCAGATGTACAGACGGACGAATGTACATGGGAAACACTTAATGCCCCCTCCGCTACGGCATAAAAATAGTGTAACCCCACCACATGGTCATGTTTTAAGTTCGTAAACTTGTTGGTAGCTGTCTTTTATTATATTTTTATTTGCATCTGCTGAAAATGTTCTAAAGTTTTCAAGACATTGTTTAAAAAAAAACTGTAAGATTTTATTTAAAATAAGTTAAAAATTGCTGCAATCTATATTCAATTTTTGGCAAAGGGATACTAGGTAATTTGAAATGAGTGATGCAAATGTTTTATTGGCCCAAACAGAAATCTGTTTTCATGAAGATAGTTTGATAAACCTGAGTAAGTTTATCAGCTAGGAGTAAACTCCTTGACACAGCCATAAGATCAAAATAGTTTTCTGTAATTACCCAGAAGCCAACAGGTCATTTGTAGGGTTCCAAGCACAGATGAAAACTTCTGACTCGTGTCCACGTAATATGGTTGCTTTACTACTAGGAATTTCTACTCCTCCATCTACTTCCATATTTGTTGTATGATTAGCTGCAATAAAGGTCAAGTTTCAGCATGTGATAACAAAATATACAAACTCAACCATCAATAAAATGCTTCGCTGGGCGCAGCTTGATACGACCGCAGAGGTCGAACCCTGAACAGTTGGGGCAAGTATGGACACAACATTCAAGCTTGATACAGCTCTGAATTTGGATTGTGATTAAATATCTGACACAGCATAGGTTTCTGACACAGAAAGAATGTGGTCTAAGAACTTCAATTTTTTTAATTTACCTATTATGGTCCAATGTCCAAAATCAAAATACATGGTTAGATTCAGCATATCAAAGAACCCCATATATTCAATTTTTGTTGAAATCAAACAAAGTTTAATTTTGGACCCCAACTTGGACAAACTTGAAAACTGGTCCCATAATCAAAAATCTAAACACATGTTTAGATTCAGCATATCAAAGTACCCCAAGAATTCAATTTTTGTTAAAATCAAACTAAGTTTAATTTTGGACCCTTTGGACCTTAATGTAGACCAATTTAAAAAACGGGACCCAAAATTAAAAATCTAAATACACAGTTAGATTTGGCATATCAAAGAACCCCAATAATTCAATTTTTGATGAAATCAAACAAAGTTTAATTTTGGACCCTTTTGACCTCAATATGAACCAATTTGATAGCGGGCCCACAAAATAAAAAACCTAAATACATGGTAAGATTCAGCATATCAAAGAACCCCATATATTCAATTTTTGTTGAAATCAAACAAAGTTAAATTTTGGACCCCAATTTGGACCAACTTGAAAACTGGGCCAAAAATCTAAAATCTAAATACATGTTTAGATTCAGCATATCAAAGAACCCCATATATTCAATTTTTGTTGAAATCAAACAAAGTTTAATTTTGGACCCCAACTTGGACCAACTTGAAAACTGGTCCCATAATCAAAAATTTAAACACATGTTTAGATTCAGCATATCAAAGAACCCCAAAAATTCAATTTTTTTTAAAATCAAACTAAGTTTAATTTTGGACCCTTTGGACCTTAATGTAGACCAATTTAAAAAACGGGACCCAAAATTAACAAGAAATGATTGTAACAGGATGCTGTTACGAAGTCTCCCAAACGAAGCTCCCATAATTCGTAATTCCCAGGGTCGACTGACATTGGGCAACGTCCAGTGAAAATTGGTTTGGTCCAGTAAAGTTATATGCATTAGTGATGCCTGGGGACTAACCTTGTATATCATTCAAATCATCTTGGCATGACAAACCAGAATATATATGGTTTAGGGGTGGGGATCTCAACCATTTACAAGATACTAGAATATTGGGGGTGGGGGAGGAACCCCTGGGGACTGGCACTATACGTCATTCAAATGTTCATTACATGACGATAAGGAATATATATGGTTTAGGGGTGGCGATCTCAACCATTTACAAGATATTAGAACATTGGGGGTGGGGGGAACCCCTGGGGACTGACCGTATGCGTCATTCAAATGTTCGAGACATGACAAATAGGAATATATATGGTTTAGGGGTGGGGATCTCAACCATTTACAAGATATTAGAACTTTCTCAAATGGCAGGGGGTCGGGATGACCCCTGGGGACTAACCCTGTCTATCATTCAAACCATCTTCGCATGACAAACCAGAATATATATGGTTTAGGGGTGGGGATCTTGACCACTTAGAAGATATTAGAACTTTCTTAAATGGCAGGGGGTGGGGATGACCCCTGGAGACTAACCCTGTATTTCATTTGATGTGCTTTATCATAACAAACCAGAATATATATGGTTTAGGGGTGGGGATCTCGACCATTTACAAGATATTAAAACTTTCTCAAATGGCAAGGGGTGGGGGTGACCGCTGGGGACTAACCCTGTATAACATTTGATGTGCTTTATCATGACAAACCAGAATATATATGGTTTAGGGGTGGGGATCTCGACCATTTACAAGATATTAGAACTTTCTCAAATGGCAGGGGGTCGGGATGACCCCTGGGGACTTACCCTGTATATCATTCAAACCATCTCAGCATGACAAACCAGAATATATATGGTTTAGGGGTGGGGATCTTGACCACTGAGAAGATATTAGAACTTTCTTAAATGGCAGGGGGTGGGGTGACCCCTGGAGACTAACCCTGTATTTCATTTGATGTGCTTTATCATGACAAACCAGAATATATATGGTTTAGGGGTGGGGATCTTGACCATTTACAAGATATTAGAACTTTCTCAAATGGCAGGGGGTCGGGATGACCCCTGGGGACTTACCCTGTATATCATTCAAACCATCTCAGCATGACAAACCAGAATATATATGGTTAAGGGGTGGGGATCTTGACCAACTAGAAGATATTAGAACTTTCTTAAATGGCAGGGGGTGGGGGTGACCCCTGGGGACTTACCCTGTATAACATTTGATGTGCTTTATCATGACAAACCAGAATATATATGGTTTAGGGGTGGGGATCTCGACCATTTACAAGATATTAGAACTTTCTTAAATGGCAGGGGGTGGGGGTGATCCCTGGAGACTAACCCTGTATTTCATTTGATGTGCTTTATCATGACAAACCAGAATATATATGGTTTAGGGGTGGGGATCTGGACCATTTACAAGATATTAGAACTTTCTCAAATGGCAAGGGGTGGGGGTGACCGCTGGGGACTAACCCTGTATAACATTTGATGTGCTTTATCATGACAAACCAGAATATATATGGTTTAGGGGTGGGGATCTCGACCATTTACAAGATATTAGAACTTTCTAAAATGGCAGAGGGTCGGGATGACCCCTGGGGACTAACCCTGTATATCATTCAAACCATCTTAGCATGACAAACCAGAATATATATGGTTTAGGGGTGGGGATCTTGACAACTTAGAAGATATTAGAACTTTCTTAAATGGCAGGGGGTGGGGGTGACCCCTGGGGACTAACCCTGTATTACATTTGATGTGCTTTATCATGACAAACCAGAATATATATGGTTTAGGGGTGGGGATCTCGACCATTTACAAGATATTAGAACTTTCTCAAATGACAGGGGGTGGGGATGACCCCTGGGGACTAACCCTGTATATCATTCAAACCATCTTAGCATGACAGACCAGAATATATATGGTTTAGGGGTGGGGATCTTGACCACTTACAAGGTATTAGAACTTTCTTAAATGGCAGGGGGTGGGGGTGACCCCTGGGGACTTACCCTGTATTTCATTTAATGGGCTTTATCATTTAGAACATTTTCAATTAAAAAGTTTGTGTCTATCACGAACGGTTTTCAATTTATAATCATTTGAAAATTTTTAAAAATAAAATCCCATAGGGTTCTATAGTAAAACCCTCTTTTCTTTTTGCCCCTCAAAGTACCCCTTTATAAACCCCATTGCAAAAACAAAACCCTGATTGCACCACTAGACATGTTAGTCTAACATATTGTGAAACCCTAAGTTAATCCCACAAGCGGTTTTGGAGAACGGGTGCGGACAAGTTCAAATTTAAAAGCGGCGGAAGAAGAAGAAGAAGAAGAAGAAGAAGAAGAAGAAGAAGAAGAAGAAGAATAATAATAATAATAAGAACTGAGCAAAAACAATAAGTCTTCCCAAACTTCGTTTGGGAGACTTAAAAATCTAAATACACGGTTAGATTTGGCATATCAAAGAACCCCAATAATTCAATTTTTGATGAAATCAAACAAAGTTTAATTTTGGACCCTTTTGACCTCAATATGAACCAATTTGATAGCGGGCCCACAAATAAAAAATCTAAATACATGGTAAGATTCAGCATATCAAAGAACCCCATATATTCAATTTTTGTTGAAATCAAACAAAGTTTAATTTTGGACCCCAATTTGGACCAACTTGAAAACTGGGCAAATACATGTTTAGATTCAGCATATCAAAGAACCCCATATATTCAATTTTTGTTGAAATCAAACAAAGTTTAATTTTGGACCCCAACTTGGACCAACTTGAAAACTGGGCCCATAATCAAAAATCTAAACACATGTTTAGATTCAGCATATCAAAGAACCCTAAGAATTCAATTTTTGTTAAAATCAAACTAAGTTTAATTTTGGACCCTTTGGACCTTAATGTAGACCAATTTAAAAACAGGACCCAAAATTAAAAATCTAAATACACGGTTAGATTTGGCATATCAAAGAACCCCAATAATTCAATTTTTGATGAAATCAAACAAAGTTTAATTTTGGACCCTTTTGACCTCAATATGAACCAATTTGATAGGGGGTCCACAAATAAAAAATCTAAATACATGGTTAGATTCAGCATATCAAAGAACCCCATATATTCAATTTTTGTTGAAATCAAACAAAGTTTAATTTTGGACCCCAATTTGGACCAACTTGAAAACTGGGCCAAAAATCTAAAATCTAAATACACGTTTAGATTCAGCATATCAAAGAACCCCAATAATTCAATTTTTGATGAAATCAAACAAAGTTTAATTTTGGACCCTTTTGACCTCAATATGAACCAATTTGATAGCGGGCCCACAAAATAAAAAACCTAAATACATGGTAAGATTCAGCATATCAAAGAACCCCATATATTCAATTTTTGTTGAAATCAAACAAAGTTTAATTTTGGACCCCAACTTGGACCAACTTGAAAACTGGGCCCATAATCAAAAATCTAAACACATGTTTAGATTCAGCATATCAAAGAACCCCAAGAATTCAATTTTTGTTAAAATCAAACTAAGTTTAATTTTGGACCCTTTGGACCTTAATGTAGACCAATTTAAAAACAGGACCCAAAATTAAAAATCTAAATACACGGTTAGATTTGGCATATCAAAGAACCCCAACAATTCAATTTTTGATGAAATCAAACAAAGTTTAATTTTGGACCCTTTTGACCTCAATGTGGACAAAGTTGATAACGGGGCCCAAAAATCAAAAATCTAAATACATGGTTAGATTCAGCATATCAAAGAACCCCATATATTCAATTTTTGTTGAAATCAAACAAAGTTTAATTTTGG